TTGTTAGCATTGATGTTATGTTAATTAGTGAATAATATATTTTCGGTGACAAATTTCGGATGTGATAAATATTGATCAACAAAAAAAAATGGCAGAAAAAAATGGCAAACTACACAATTATAGGATTTTTGATAAGATTTAATATAGTTTTGCCATGGTTTCAGCAATTACTAAGGAGGTTTCACCCACAACCTTAATCCATAGTACTTAATGCAGGGAAAAGGATTTTAACTGCATTGGTATATACCCACTATTCCAACCAGGTAATGGAATTTGGCCAATTTTCTTGTATCTCTCCAACTTGTTCAAAAAAATTTTCAAAATTGATTTTTAAGAGCTTTAATGTCATTGATTGAAATGTTGTTGAATCTTCATGTTTTATGATTGCATTATTTCATGCAATTCCTGTTGCAAATTGTTTGTAATGCTCCTGACATCCTTTAAGAAGGCCAATGCTTCTTTTCCAATATAGTTTTATGTGAATCTAAGAGAACTTTAGAATATGAAGATACTTGATTTTTTCCAATTTATGCCCAATGAATGCATCAATGAATTCTCTTTTTCCAGCCATGCTAAAATCTATAACTTGTGCATAAAAATTGTCACAATTTTTGGTTTCACTTTCACAATATTCATCAATCCACTGAAATAAGTATTTAAAGTGCTCTTTATGGTGGACTTTTTCCTCCTTTAAAATTACTGTTATCAGAATTGGTATTCATCTTTCAATAAGAGGGCAATATAAAGAACTATTGTTCAAATTAAAATAAATGAGCAATGAATAATAAAGTCAGTTTTATTAAAATCTTTCATTTCAAAAAAATTTACACACCTGGACAACAAGGAAGCATTTGAAAAATATTTGTAAGTGCTATCTGTAATAATGCCTGGAAAGTTATTCATTGAAAAGTCTTGTTGTTGCATCCAATCTGACTGTAATATAATTACACCTTTGTTGGTAAAATTAGCCTTTCTAATAAAATTTGGATGGGTCAATAAAAAAGAGGACATAATAATAACAGTTTGAAAAAAGATCTACACTTCAAGGTGTTTTTGAAACTTTAATATTAATTACTATATGTTCAAATTGAGTATGATTTCTAAGCCAAAAACACTCTACATAAGGGGACTGACTAAAATTGCTACTTTCACATTATGGTCCTTTCCTATGTCCAGGCCATTTCGTATATGAAAAATACATTTACTTGTTTTTCTATATATATACTCACTACCTATTCCATAGATAAATTGTTTAAAGGATGGAACGTACATGAAAATTGCGTTTCAATGAACTTCAATGAAACAAGATTCGTTGAAACAAAGAATTTGGATGGATTAAAATTTCAAGTTCACACATGTGAAAATTCAAATTAGCAAATCTGAATTTTGTATTGTTACCGGAATTAAATTTGAACACTTTTCTGGCTGAAATTCACCAATTCCGAAATTCTATTTTATTTATTTCTCTTAAATGGTCATTCTTTAATGATAACACAAATTAAAATCTTGATCATTCTTATTGGTCAATTCAAGTAAATACAGTCAATCGACCAACTTTTAAAGGACAACAACCGGATTTTTATTTATAGATTAATCGGCTGAATCTCAAAGATCATTTTCGTATTAGAAAATGATGCCCTCAGAAAAAAATTTTTATACATATCAGAAAAATTTTATCGGCTATCAATAGCTGATTAACCGTTTAAGGGATCTCGTGTTACATCTACTTTAGTAACACGTTTTATTGTTATGCAAATTGCAAATTACAAATCGCTGCAAATAATTGCAATAATAACAAACTGCAAAAGGAGCTTTGTTAATAAACTTTATTAATTGGGAAACATGAGATCAAAACAAGAAAGCGAAACATTGTAGTGAGAACAATTTTCTGTGTTAATTGCAATTCATTAAATGATCGACATCAATTTCCTTTTTTTCGATCCAAATACTCATTTTTTTTATGCCGACTAGGTATGTAAAAATCACATTTGTTACAATTATTATTATTATAGACGATTTGATGTGGTAATGAAGCAACTATTTTTTTAAAAATTGTAGAGTAATTAAATTACAAAGACCATGCGTGATTTTCATTCACACCATGATATCATTTTGATTTATTTTCTATCATTGCTATTCATTGTTAGTATTAGGAAAAGAAGTAAGCGGTGATAGTTAAAGCTCTCGATGAGTTTCTGCAGCCTTTGCATAGTTGTACAACAATTTGATCAGGAAAATTTAGAGTTTGAGGAGTACAGTCAAATCTCGATAAGCCAAAACTTTTGGGAATCACAAAAATAGGATCATCGACTTATCAAAATTCGGTTTATGAAAAACGATTTTTATCATTATTAATTGTTCAAATAAAATAATAAATTTTATTTGTGAGAGATTTGGGTGATTGACAAGTGTGGAGTAAACCGAATTTTATCATTATAAGACAAATTTTAAAACCAGTTTATGATCATCAACTGGTTCACAAATATTCGGCTTGGAAAGTTCCATTTTTATTATGTTGTATCAAACGTTAGGTTCGGTTTATCAAGAAAGTAGAAATTATAATGAAGTGATTTTTATTAGATATGATTCGGTCGACCAATTTTGCATCGTTATAAGGCGAAAATCGGTTTATAGTAGTTCGATTTATCTGTATAATTTACATGTCACGAAATAATCACTCAATAAAAAATATTATACATGGCAGTGGCGACGAAGTTGCCTGTAATAGAATTTATAAATTAAAAAAAAATATATGTATATAAATTTTTCATCAAGACGCCAAGGTTTTAAGGTTGAATTACCAAATAAATAAATTCATTATAAAAAAAAAAAAACTTTTATTGAGAATGTAGAATCGGAACTGACCTTTCTTCCTCAGCTACGTTTGATTAATGTTATGTTCTTCTACTACAAACTTAAAATTTCCTAAATGTGATTTGATGTTTTTTATTCAAATATTTATTTTGAGTAAGCAAAACAAAGACTAAATTTGTTAGATTTTCATCAAAATAATAATAAATATGTGGTGTCAAATTAATGATTCGTTTATTTTTATTTGGACGTGTACTGTGCATAGGGATGGGAACGGTTCCTGTCACGCGCCGCGACGAATAATATTTCCATAATTGATCCGTGACGATTAATATACTAAATTATAGGTGACAATTAATTTGTCTTGTTTTGGCAATCTAAATGTCACCTGTAATTTAGTATATTAATCGTCACGGATCAATTATGGAAATATTATTCGTCGCGGCGCGTGACAGGAACCGTTCCCATCCCTAACTGTGCAATATGAATTAAAATAAAAAAATCAAATGAATTGATATTTGAATATAATAACAGTCAATAAAAAATGCAGTCTTTTTTCTTTAACTCTTTGTAGTTGAATCAAGCAACCTAATTAAAAATAATGACATTTAAAAAAATATTTTTAATATTTTTAATATTGTTCAAATGCTTATTTTTAGTAAATTCAACTCCAGCCGACCCAAGATATGTACATGCCACCGTTGTGGTTAACAATAATTTATATGTTATGGGTGGTATATCTAATGGTCTACCATCAAGAGAATTTTTTTTGCTTGATTTATCACAACCATTTGATGCAACAACTCCACCATGGAAGGACTTAACCACAACTTCACCATTGCCAGTATTAATATCATGGGCTAAAGCTAGTTCCAACACAAATAATGATACAATATTTTTATTTGGAGGTGTTATGAATGATACTGTAACTGGTGATTATAATTTGAAAAATATGGTTTACACCCATGATTTAAAAACCAATCAATGGTTAGTAAACCCACCTGCTTTTCAAGGAGTGCCACCTGAAACACGTAGAGATTTTGCAAGTGTTAGTGATCCATTGACTGGCAAATTATATATTCATGGTGGAGCACATGATTTTAGTATCCCTACTAGAGTTTTTTTTAATGACTTTTTTATTCTGGATGGAAATAATTTATCCTGGAGTCAAATTGGAAAAACTGGTCCAAATATTCCACCTTCTAGAATTGACCATGCTGCTGTATTAATTGCTAATGGAGTAATTGTTTTTATTGGTGGAAGAGAATATTCTATTACTCCTAAGGCTTCTCTAACTGCAGTTCCCATGAATAAGGTAATAAATAATAACTATAATGATTAATAAAAAATGTGTAGTTATTAATTTAATATTAATCTATTATTTATTTAAAAAAAGCTTACATTATATGATACTAAAACTGATACTTGGGATTTAATGGTAATTATTAATTTTATATGAGAAGTTTATTTTAATTGAAAAATATATTAATCATTAATTGTATTGATCAGACTACAGTGGATGGTCTAGATATTGAAACCCGCGTTGGACATACAGCTGTATATGGTAAATAATTATTATTGTTGTTTGTTTGTTTCTTATCATCATTTAAAAAAAAAATTTTCATTTTATATATTTATTTCTTAGCTGCTAATGGTCAAATAATAGTCTATGGAGGAATTACACCTGATACAGAAATAGCACCTACTCCTGAATTAGCTGTATTAGACACAACTACAAAACCTTTTAAATGGATCACACCTCCATTAACAACACCAGAAGCTCCTATCAACTCACTCGCATACCATCAAGCAAACTTAGTTGGAGATTATATGGTGCTAACATTTGGTAAATAAATAAATTAATTGAAAGAAATAACAATGATAATATATGTATGTGCATATATATGTTGTGCGTGAATTTGGAATCTGCGTCAATTTGAAATTCACGCGCGTGAAATTCAAATTAGCCAATCAGAATTTTGTATTCAAACGCTCACCCCAAAATTTAATTGGTAAATTTCAAATTTATGTACCTTAGGTAATAGAACAAATAAAGCTGGGCCACCTCTTAAAACAAATAATTCAACTCGAATACTTAATATAGTTAATTACAAATGGATAAAATCATTTCCTGGTCTATCTCTTAACAGTAAAACATCACCAAATGTTTCTCCAACATCAACATCATCAACATCATCAACATCAAACTCGGTGCTTAGTCCTGCAACGATTCTAGCAATTGTGGTTTCAATTTTGACCATTGTTGCATCAATTGGTATTTTCCTTTTTTATCTTAGAAATAGACAAAAAAAGAATCTACAAGAATTATCATCCTTTAATGATGCTTCATCACCAACTCATAGCACACAAATGACATCTTCCCCTCCTCCTTCTTCTCAAGATCAAATTAATAATAATGATAATTTTATGAGGAGTATTTCCATAACAACATCACCATCATTAATATCATCATCTAATAGTCAAAGTCCTTCAAATCATAATTCTGTTTTTAGTTTGCTTAATAGCAATAACAATCTCAACAACAAAAACAATACTAGTCCACTTTCAATGCTATATAATGATCTTACAAACCCTTCATCATCAACCTTACCAATTATCACTACACCACTTACAACAACTCCAACAACAGCTACAAATTCAACATATGGTAATGATATCAACAACAACAACAATAATTTTGGTAGTTTTGGTGTTACACAACAAATACATAGTCCACCTGATTTGATTCAACAACGGCAATTACAATTACTACAATTACAATTATTGCAGCAACAGCAGCCACAACAATTTCAAACACTACAACAACAACAATTACTACAGCAACAATTGTTACAACAATTAATGTTGGCTAATCAATCACTTTCTCCAACCTCAAATTTACAGCAACTTTCTAATACTATGGATCCAAATTTACAATCAGGATTAGAAAGAAGTACTCCAGATTTAAATAATATTCCAATAAATCAAACATGTATCAATATATCTACAACAAATCAAGTAATTTATAATGATAATGGTAATGATGGTGATGATGATGGTGATGATGATGGTGATGGTGATGATGATGATGATGATGATGATGATGATAGTAATGGTAATGATGGTAATGATGATAATGATCCATTATCACCAGGCTCAGTAATAAAATATCCATTAGTAACAAATTCATCCATACAACAATCCATGCAATAATAGATAATTAAATATTATATTGTATTAATAATAATAATAACTAAATCATTAATTGGTGGTCCGCCGATCAACGATAGAAATTTAATTTGCAGATCTGGACATAGATTCATATTTTAAGTTAAAAAAAAAGCATTCTTGCAATTTTTTTAAAAAATGTAATAATAAATCATTTTTAATAACTTCAGTTCAATTATTATCGGTAGTATTATAGACTTTGATTTACATTATGGAATTCATGCAAAAGATTGATGGTGGTAAACCCCAAAAAGTGAATAAAAGAGATATATATTTGTTTCTATCATCCAATTTACATTGGAATGAAAACACAATTTTTCCTAAATAGTAAAAGATATATTGCAAATTGTAAAGGTTACAAATATAATGAATTCTAGATCTTTACCTAATGTGGGTGAATGGAAAAGTTTTCTCCAGTGCAAATTCAAAAATTATCTCATCTACAAACTTCTATTCAATCAAATTTGAAAATAAATTTTTTATTAGATAATCAAGCTAATAAATTCATGAATTATTGTTACTTATCAATATCAAAGTGAAATTTTCTAAAAATATAATTACCATTTTACAAGGATTTTTTCATGCAGGTAGAAGATAAATAAGTCAATCTATACAAAGTTGGATTACTTGCTATCCTGACTGAATCATCAAAATTCATAATAAAATTTTTTTTAATTATTATTATTTTTTCAAAACAATACATGCAGCCCAAACTATTGTGACTTTTGACATGCTGTAATGTCTTAATGTCATAAATATATTTAGACATCCATTTTTAAATTGTCATAATCATGTTGTAATGTCATAATTAGGTCGTAATAATGTAAGAACGGAGGATATTGGGTCACATGTTCGCAATATGATTGGCCGGCCGGCACTTTGATAAAATTGTTGTATTTAAATTAGACGTAAGAAATTAATTGACCAAGTTGGAAAATTATTAATGACTATGGACTATGAACTATCTACTATTAACTAATAATTACTTAACCAATTAATTAACATTTCAGAGCCTTGTTCATAAGAATAAAGACAGAAAATTGTTAAATAATTCATTTCAGTAAAACAAATTAAAATTAATTCTTTTGTTTAATAAAACATTTTTGTAATCGGAATTAAACGGTATGGTTTAATTGTTCATTTGGTTATCGGTGTGGTATAGAACTAGAGTTTCTATTCGTAATACAAATTCTTATTCGAATTATTCATTTTATTCGAATAAAATAAATAATTCGGATAAACCTTATTCAAACAGAAGTCCTATATTAGAAATTTGAAGGTTTGTGACTCGGTTCTGGTTATTTGTTTTGGTAAAAGCAAAGGTTTAATTTGGTTTTGTTTTTGTAAAAGATTTAATTATACCTTTCTCACGTAAAATACTTATCATTTTGCTTTTTTAAAGTTTTGGAGTTTTGAAATGATTTCGAAGCTTTAAAATAGTTTTGGAATTAAAAAACGGTTTCAGAGTTTCGAAATGAATAAAAGCTCAATCCCAAAATAATTATACGCTCGTTTTTGTTGTTATTATTATAATAAATTACGAAAACTTTTTTATATATGAAAAATCTCGCTCATCTTTACACCCCCAAAGAGTAAACCTTTTTTTTCAATATTCTTGAAAAAGAATGTATAGATATGTTCTTTGACATTTGTTTCATAACGTAAAATAAAAAAATATTACTAGAGCATAGTATATACCATTCTTTGATACAAAGTCGTCGATTAATAAAATTTGTGACATTTTTCTCCGCAGATCCTTATTTAGAATTCACTGGTTCATTGAATTGCCAAATAATAGATTCATTATATTTTTTTGAGAATGTAAAATTGGAATTTTCATCTCTTTAGCTATATTTGATTAATGTTATGTTCTCCAACTACAAACTTTCTAAATGTAATTTGATGTTTTTTTTTTATTCAAATATTTATTTTAATAAGCAACATCATGCAACATCATGTTAAATTTGTTGGATTTCCATTAACATAAATATATGGTGTCAAATTAACAGGGTTTGTTTATTTTTTATTGGATGAGTTAAAAAAATCAAATGAATTGATATTTCAAATATAACAACAGTCAATAAAAATGTGGTCTTTTTTTTCTTTAACTTTTTACAGTTATATCCAATTAAATTGTTCAAGTGCTTATGTTTAGTGGTAAATTCAGTTCCAACTGACCCAAGATATGTACATGCAAATGTTATTGTTAACAATTTTATATGATATGGGTAGTTTCTCTAAGGGTCAATCATCAAAAGAAATTTTTTCTCTTGATTTGTCGCAAACATTTGATGCAACAACTCCACCATGTAAGGATTTAACTGCAACTTTTCCATTGCTAGTATTAATATCATGGGCTACAGCTAGTTCTAACACTAATAATAATAAAATATTTTTATTTGGTGGTGAATTTGTTTAAATTTCTGATAATTAAATGTTGCATATTGAATTGTTTCTTCTGTGACAGTCAGTCATGCTGCCTTCCTTGACATTTTTCATATAATTAAATGTTATTATAATATGAATATTGGTTACAAAAGGCAAAACAATACCAATCATTCATTATTTATTGTCAAGAATCTTATAATTACCCAAGATATGACAAGTTCTGCTCCATGTTTTGATTTCAATAGGATATATTTATATAAAATGAAAAGCATCTATCAATACAATTCAAATAAAAAATTGTGTGCCTCTGGTCAGTTATTAGCACATCTTCTTTAGGAGAGCCATACCAAACATTTACATTTGTCATGGATTCTTGATTGTTTTCCAAAAAAACTTTGTACAAATGTCACATTCATATAATTTTGTCTCCAACAAATACATCTACTTACAATATTCCAAGAACTGTATCAAGTTTTGTGTCGAAGGCATTGAGAAATCTTTTCCTTTTGAATTGTCAATTATAACATATGCTGTGTTAGTCGTGTTGATTAGGATTTGGTATAATAAGATCTCCTTGTGGGATTTCTCCTCATTATTTGTTTCTTCATTTTGTATGATTCTGAAAGTTTTGCAGTCTCTAGAGCTGATTCATCTAACACAAATATTCTAGAATCATTATCTTTATCGCATTCACTCCTCTATGATCTCTCTTCTTTATTACTATTCGATTTCTTTGATTTCTTTCAACTAAGCTTGGGCCGACTCCATTTTGTTCTTGTTCAAGTTTATTATGAGATTTACTTTTATATTTTTGTAAAAGGAAAAGGAAGTTAAAATATTAGTATAAAATTATGGATAATTAAATAAAAAATATGGGAAAGCAAGTATTTGATGATATATAGTATAAAAAAATATTTTACTTGTTAATATAAATTACACTGATTTAATGACATACCGAGACAAAATATTTCTTGACTTCTTTATTATTATATCCGTTAAATAAAAAAGAACTCTTTAATAATCAATAATCATTAGATCTAATAATATTATAGAAATAAATAAATATATGGTAATTATATCTTTCCTTTACGAGTAAAATATAACATGAACTCTGCAATATTTTTCAATAATTTGCCATTATAATCTTAGTTTCTGGTAAGTTTATTGGTATCAGTACTCTCAACAAAACAATGATTTTTCGTTTAATTTATGCTTTATTGAATTTACATTTTATCTCCTTTATTAATTATATAGTTAACAAAGGCATAAAAAGTACATATAGATAGAAGATTCGTGTTAATTGTATTTTTATATTGAAAAAACTAATAAATACTATTTCAATATAAAAAACGTTCTAATATGATTTATTCCTTTTTTTATTATCATTATCCGAGTCCCTTTAGAAATCAATGCTTAAAAATGATTTCAAACCCCAATTTAAAACCCAGTTTAACTCTGGAAGCAAAATCGTTATCACTAGATTTGCAATAATATTATGAGTTGTTACATGCTCCGCATGTAATAGTGGAAAACTCGGAATGGTTGTCGAGTTTAAATAGTGGCACATAAATGATATTATTTTAACAACCATTCTCGATCTTTTGGTTTTTGACGTAATCATTGCATGTTTCTGCACTCAATAACTGTGACCGACTATGAAACATTATAATGTAAATTTTGGGAACGTCCAGACGTGCAATAATCGAAAATTTAGCATGCATGTCTCATCTCATATGCAGACATACAATAAATATTTTTACTTTATTTATTAAAAGTTAATTGATATTCTTTCTATTTAACGAAATAATTAATCATTGAACTTGCATAATTTTTTATTTCTTGTATTATCAATTGTTTTAATAAAAAATGGTCACTGCGATCTTTTTTGAAGAAAAATGTTAAAAAATGCAGTTAAAAAATTTCGATAGAATTCCAATCTCAAAATTCATATTGGCGTCCAACATTCTTTATAATTTATTATTGTAAAAAAAATTGTTCATCAAGAAGTTAAGGTTTTAGGTTGAGTTACCAATAAATTCATTATAAACAATACTTGGTTAAATGGTACAGGATCTTTATTGTGAATGTAGAACCGGAACTTTCCTTTCTTCCTCAGCTATTTGATTAATGTTACGTTGTCCTGCTACAAACTTAAAATTTCTAAATGTAATTTTATGTTTTTATTCAAATTTTTATTTTGGTAAGCAAACAAAGACTAAATTTGTTGATTTTCATCATAAATATGTGGTGTTAAATTAACGAATTCGTTATATACAAATTAAAAAATTTTATTTTTGAATATAATAAATAGTCAATAAAAAATGCGGTCTCTTTTTTTCCAACTTTCTATAGTTGAATCAGTTAATTAAACATAATGAACATCTTTTTAATATTTTTAATATTGCTCAAATGGTTATGTTTAGTGGTAAATTCAGTTCCAACTGACCCAAGATATGTACATTCCACTGTTATTGTTAACAATAATTTATATGTTATGGGTGGTATTTCTAATGGTCGATCATCAAGAGATTTTTTTTCTCTTGATTTGTCACAACCATTAAATGCAACAACTCCGCCATGGAAGGACTTAACTACAACTTCACCATTGCCAGTATTTGCATCATGGGCTAAAGCTAGTTCCAACACAAATAACAATACAATATTTTTGTTTGGTGGTTTTATGCGTGATACTGTAACTGGTGAATTGAATTTGAAAAGTGTGGTTTACACCCATGATTTTAAAAGCAACCAATGGTTAGTAAACCCACCTGCTTTTCAAGGAGTTGCACCTATAAGACGTAGAGAATTTTCAAGTGTTAGTGATCCCTTGACTGGCAAATTATATATTCATGGTGGAGTAAATGATATGAAAGTTACCACTACTGTTTTGTTTAATGACTTTTTTATTCTGGATGGAAATAATTTATCCTGGAGTCAAATTGGGAAAACTGGTCTAAATATGCCACCTCCTAGAATTGACCATGCTGCTGTATTGATTGCTAATGGAGTAATTGTTTTTATTGGTGGAGTAGATTACTCTACTACTACTAAGTATACAACTGCAGTTCCCATGAATAAGGTAATAAATAATAACTATAATAATTAATAAAAAATGTGCAGTTATTAATTTAATATTAATTTATTA